GTAATGTTTCACATTCTTGGATCTGTTTATCTAACTTTCCAGTTGTTGATCTAGGTCCAAATGTAATTGCTTGGTCTAATGTTTGATATAAATGACGAAACGGGAGCTCGTTGAAATGTAGCAAGCATACGAACCAGTGCAATGGTTTCTTTAAATGAAGTTCGAATCTGCGCAAAACGCCATTATATGTTCCAGTGTTAGCAGGTTCACCATCACTACATATGCCAATTAAGTGTTCAAGTGATATTTGTTTATTATTAAAGAATTCAAATAATTGTTTCTGCTTAGATTCCGCATCTTCTTTGGTCAATTCTACATATCCAATTAATACTGTGTTTGGTTCTCTTGCAACTACTAAATGAGGCTCTTTTACCATGTTTTGATGATATTTTTGATTAATTGTTTGTTGTGTTAATGAATCATTTTTCCGACCATCGAAAGAAAATGCTTTTAAATTAGATTCAATACGTTGTTTACTTAACACTACGTCTCTATATTTAAGCCTTTCTCTGGCAACCTTACGTTTGTCCATAATAATAAAATCACCCTTTTCATCTCTTATGTTTAAGTCTTCGAGAAGTGCTGTGGCTATACATGCAGCTACTCTGTCGGAAACTCCAAATCTATCGCACATCATAACAAAGTTTGGTATGTTGTATCTTGCAGTATAAGGACCACGTTTCATTGCAGAAGGTTGTTGTGTAGCTGATGGTAATTCATCGATATCCATAAGCATTTCTGATGTATTTGGCTGATATGTTTGATCGTCATTGTCTGTTGCAATTGTTGGTAATTCTGTTAGCACTTCATCTGAAGTAAATGGCAAATATTCTGGTATTGTACGTTTTCTTTCGTTATGTTGATCAAACATGAATTCTGTTAGATTTTCTGGAATTAGTCCACAGGAGCATTTTGTTGTTTGTAAACTACATTGGCATTTTCCAATGTAAAACAATTGCTTTAACGAATATACGAGTGATTCGAATTTGCTTCTATTTTTACACTTATTATCTTTATGACAACTATCGATTAATCTATTTAACTTTTTGACAATATTATTTCTGCTCATAATTCAATATTTAATTTGCACCAAATTTCAGTTAATTTATCTACTACATTTGGAGTAAACGATTTATATGAGAACATCTTTCTACTAGATTTAGCTTGATCACTGAGAAAAAAATAATACTGTAAAATATTGCCATTATCTGGTAAATTAATATCACTCAATTCACTTGATTCACCAAAGGACATAATATCTGGTCGAGGCATAGGACGCGCGCACTTTCAATACTATTTTTAAATTAGCTGTATTTTTCGCTACCTCTAATATTTTCAATTTTTGTTTACGTCGCCTACCATCTGTTTTTATGCACAATTTGCAAAAGTGTTTTATGACACTGTGCGCGCCACTTTTAATACTCTAAACCAGCCAGGGAGGAGATTGGGGGATAGATCTCCCACTTCGTCAATACACTACTATTGTTATACCTTTCATGAGCATGAAATGGTATTATAACTTTGGTCCGATGTTTGTAAGTACCAGAATAAGAAGAGATATACCCACTAAAATGTATACTTATATGATCAGAACGTCGCGCTGAGTCGATTTAGCCATGTCCGTTTGTTTGCATGCAATCCAATCTCTCAGTTTTCGAGATATGCGGATGAAATTTTGCAATATAGTCTCTCAGTTTTCGAGATATCCGGATGAAATTAGGTAAGTGAGTGTATTTTTATAATGTATTGATCATTCGTCGGAGCCGGAAAAATAAAATTTTAATAATAATGCTAGGACTTTTTCTAATTTTTTCGGCATTTTTCCAAATTACAAGAAGAGTTTTATAAAACTTTTATAACACCAAATGTTTATCAAGCTTAGGATTTTGTGTTATCCGGGCAGGCTTATTAATTTAACCAGAGAATATGTTTTCTTTGTCAAGTTTACCAAGTTACCCATTTTAAACAGCTACCTGTACTGTATCAGCGGTTAAAACTTGTCAAATTTTTATTTAAAATTTTCGGTAAGGAATAAGCGAGTGGATGAAAAATACATAACGGTAAGAACGGCCCATATATATGTATATGAAAGAATACAAACATGCGACGACTCTAGCCATTGTGTGTCACTCATTTAAATCATAGTTATTTTTTTCTTAATGTATTAAAAAAATAACGTTCATAACTCTTTAGTAAATATTAATCTGTATATTAACCTAATATATATTAAAGACTAGAAGATGACCCGGTGAACTTCATATCATCTATAATTTATTTGAATTTCACGTTGATCAATTATAACAAATCTTCAAAATCCAATTCATTGAGATCACTAATACTGCCTGATGTTATAGCTGATAAAAGATTCTACACCTATGGGATGTGCCACGCCCCCTTTCACAAACTCATTTATATATACCTTTTTATAAGCACCTACCATAGGTATCTGTGCATTTCAAATTTCGAGTTCATGTGACTATAATTCCGAAGTTAGAGTTAATTCAAAATTTTACGCCTATGAGGTGGGAAGTGAAACCAGATCCCACCCCTTTGCGAGTCCCAATTTTTTTTACCCTATTATAGGTCCAGGAGCCATGGTAATACTCTGTCAAAATTTTGTTCGATTATGTCCATCCGTTTAGGCTGCAACCTACCACATACATACATACATACTTCCACAAATATATAGTAGATTTGCTTTGAAGCGCCATCTTGCGGTTCTTTAAATCAAAAATAGATATCAGAAATGAATTTTTCATATCACAAAACTCCGGAGCACAAGTTTTTATTAAAAAATAAAAAACATTCGTAACACTTTAGTAAATATTAATCTGCATATTGACTTAGTATTAATTAAAGATACCTTCTTTTAAAAATGCGCAGGCTCGAAATTGATTTTAGAGCAATGGTCTAAAGGACTTTTTTTCTTAGAATTTTATGTAGAATCCGAATCTGCTTGGAACGATGTCGAAAAAAAAATTGACCCGCCCTAATATATATATATTTTTTTTTATATGGGAGTTGAAGTCGGTTTTTTTTTTGCTAAAAATTACTAGTAAATTTATATCCTCAATAGGGAATTTTGCCAAGTCGCGCCAGCTCATCGGTCTTACAATTTCGCTCAATGTTGGTACCCATATCACCTTTGGGCGAAATGACTCTGCCATCTAGTTAAGAAATGTGCGGCATTCCATGGCTGCCGTGGAGGTTGTAGAATGCTTCTTAAGGCATTTGATTACCGCTTTGCTGTCAGCAAAGATGTACATATGTATCAGCTTGGGATATCACATCACACTTTGCCGGTTTTGAGGCACTGTCGATTGCCATCACCTCCGCCTGAAAAATGCCGCGGTGGTCCATGAGACGAAAACTATGGGAAATTTTATAATTTTTGAGTATAAACCCCCACCAACCCCTCCCTCGAACTTTAAGCCATTTGTGTATACATGGAAGGACTCCCTATTCCTTAAAGCGTCTCATTTCCACACTTCCCTTGAGGGTAGAAGGGTCCGCTGCAATGGGAGAAGGGTTCGGAAGTCCGCTGTCCCCTGGTCGGACCAAAGGGGAATGAGATTTAGCTGGCATGTCAAGAGGTGGTTGGTATCGTGCGGGATAGCCTAAACATGCCGGACTCTCATTGGGGGTATCTACCGGGTTTGAGTCTGGGCATGTAGCTGTTGAAACGGCTCCAATATTCACACCGTAACTGGGCCAGAGTGACGCGGGTCTCTTGGCAGTTAAAGCTTCGCGTCTGATAAAGGTTGTGATTATGCTCCGATCACGACATTCATAAGCCGGGATTCGTGGCAGGTGGTGACCGACTCCCTATGAATGCAGTGGATCACTCGTCGGTACGTAGTTGGGTCCAGTGGTTGGTCAATGTATGTCTGGACAGCGTCCATGTATACGAATAAGTGCCCCTAACATGCCTGGGAGGAAGCCCCTCCTCTAGCAAGGGTCTGTTGGGGTACTCACGCCGGCCTAAAGTCTTTTGGTTTCGTATGTGTTGTTTTTCCTGCTTTAGGTATGAAAACTAATCGAGTGGCGTATATAATTAAGTTGTGACGCTGCCTCAAAGAAGTGGGAATGATTCGTACTGGTCCCGGAGACTTATACCGTTGGAAGCTGCTATTACCACGTTTTATGTTCTCCTCAGTAATAATGTTCGTTGGAAGGTCATCGTTATTTCCTGCGAGTCGATTGTTGGTGACTTTACTGCGGAGGCAACCCGGAAAGTGCGTTTGTATTAGATACGCTAATGTTTCTTTGCTGTTAGCTCTCCAATCGACTTCATTGAAGAGGTGGCTAATATTGATGAGGCACGTTTATAGTACATCTTATGTAGTCTGCTGGCTTTTGAAGAACTTACTATCTTCTGACAGAAGTTTCTGTATTAGGATCGCTTAGCGTCTCTGTTTGAATACTTAAATCGACGTTTCCAGTCTTTGAATTCACTCCAAGAGTTGGATCTCTTAGCTTTGTTAAATTTTTATCTAAATTCCGTCCTCGGGGTTGCAATTTCAGTCGACCACCATGGAGGTTTTGATTTTCTACTTCGACTTGCACGTCGAAATACTTTAGTTACAGCATCAATGACCTTATAAAGCTGATGCCCTGAGTTTATCTTGGTTGTGGGGCGAGAAAGGCTGTTAGGAAAAGTTGTTTCAAACTTTCAAACGAGACATTCAGAAGCCTTTCAAAAGTTCTGCCTCATTTGCATTGTAATGTCAAAGATTTCCCTTCTAATAAATAAAACGAAGGTAGGCGTGTCAACTTAGTTGAGCTTGAGACTCAATTTAGTCGATTTAGGTAGGGCTTAGCTGTGATGCTATAACAACGGCAGCAATCTCTTCATCAGCTGGAAGGATATTAAATTTTCAATTCTGTGTTAGAAGTGCGCCCCGAGGTCATGACAAAATTTGAACTTTGAAAGTTAAACGACTCATTAGAAAGGCGATATTAAAAGCTTTGACTTCGTTTACCAGTTGCAAGTTCAGCAAATGAATGGTCCATACCACTGCTATAAATGTAACTATTTAGTATAGACATAAGTTTGCTCTTGTAGCTTCATAATTTTTATTATGCATTTTATTGGCCTAGCTTTAACTTTTTTCACCTCTCTTTCTCCTATTGCAGTGTGTAAAGAATGGCTGGTACGTGAAGACAGCGCGCTAGCCTATAAATTGCAATCACAAGAAAGTAAGTCATGTCCCTTAGCAAAGTACAAAATTAACAAACGGAACTAAAGTTTATAGCTTATGTGGCACACACACATACATAATTCATATTTTGCAATTCTTCTCCAACAGTAAATGACTTCTACAAAGGCAATCGACAGCGAAACGCTGTGGTACGTGAGGATTTTCCCACCGCTTTGAATGAGCAAATCAAGGAGAAGGAACAGGCCGAGCGGCAAGTGGAAATGTATCGAAGTCGTCTGCTTGAACAGTAAGTGCAATAAAATTATATACATTTATATGTAGTCAGACGCGAAGGTGAAATATTTTATGTGACCACAGGGAAGCATATGATAAGCGTGTAGCGAAGGAAATCGCCGAAAAGTTGGAACGTAACTTACAGGAACAGAGGCAAAGAGAGTTGCTGGAGAGCGAAGAAATGGCGCAGCAGATGCAGGTGAAAGACGCGCATGTTGCATTATTTAAGTTTTTCGATGTTGATACATTAGGGCGGATCATTTTTATCTTTTTTTTGGCTATGCGCGTACAACTTAGGCGGATTCTGCGTATAATTGTAAGCAAATTTGCCAAAGAAACCATGGGTCTAAAATCACTCTGGAGTTTGCCAAATTGCAAAAATAGGTTTTGAAGAAAATGTGAAAATTTTCACTGTTGCGCACTCTGGTGGAATTTTTAAGAAAAAGATAAGTGCTGAAATGCGTTCATGTTTTTACCAAAAAATTTAAGGACTTCTTTACGACACTACAGCAGAATGCTAAGAAACCCATTTTCGCAATTCGGCAAACTCTAAATTGATTTTAAATCAATGGTTTCTTCGGCAAACTTGCTTAAAATCACATCCAGAATCCTTCCATGCCAAATGCGTATAGTCGAAAAAATTTCCCATGCAAATTAACTCGCCCTAATGTGCATTAATATTAATTTAACTTTTTGTGCACTCACTGCAGGAGCTCTATGTGAATTTGCCGCCACCAATGCGCGGAAAGGCGCATGCGCTACCGCCACGTCCAGCTAAAGCAAGTATCTTGCAACAGAATCCCAATGAACCCTCAACATCGAACGGTAGATATTTCGGTAGTAATAGTGGTAGTGGTAGTAGTAGACAGCATCCGAGACATCATCAGCATCAACAACAACAGCTATCACAATCACCACAAACGCCACATCAGCCACAGTCACAACAACAATTGTCGCCCACATCATTTCTTTTGCAAGAACAGCATTTCTCACAAACTGATTGTTATGTAGGCCTAACGGTACAAAAGACTTCATCACCTATAACTACCACATCTGCAGCATTGTCGTCATTAGCAAATGCAGTAGATTCACCTTCGCCACCAACATCTTCCACACGCCAACACAACAGATCACAAATAAATGCACTGAGCAACAACAACAGAAGCAGCAGCAGCGGCTCATCTGCTGGCGGTCACTTGTTGGTGAGTTTCAATGAAGCAACAACCACACACTAACCGCTTTCGCGCATTGAACGGTGACTCTTTACAAACAACAAAACTAACAAATTCATCTCTAGCATCAGCATCAACACTCCTTGTCATCCATTTCGTCAGCTTCAGCTGCATCGACATCCTCTTCAGCGGCAGCGGCAATGACTTCAGCAACAGCAGCATCCTCATCGGTACAGACATTCTCATTTGCACAGCCACAGCCACCACACCAGCTCAATCACTTTCACTCACCAACAGCACAACAACAACAACAAAAACGCAATCCGCTCGAAGCGTCACACCCACCAACACATGCACCCTACACTGACCATTCTGCACCACCACAACCACATACAACCCATCCATCAACGCCACTAAGCCGGCAGCAGCACCAACAGCCGCTGCCTCAACGTCAACATTCAGTCGAAGAATTGATTGAATATTCCTATGCGGTGGACAGCATAAGGCATCTTGAAAAGTGTGCTGCTGATGGTGGCGGTGATGGTGGTGGTAGCGCTAGTGTTGACAGCTGCACAACTGAATCACCATTGCACAACACTTTTGGTAGCAACAATTCCAATTCACCAAGTGGCGCTTTAAACAATCGCTTACATTCGGTGTCAAATGAGAATTTGCTAAGAAATGAACACAAATTCCAGAAGCTCTCACCGGAGAAATACGATCAGCTGGTGGGTAATGATGCCGCTGGCGGTGGACGTGCGGTTGCGTGTAACGCCGTAGCTGCTGAGCGGCATATGCAAGCACACGCAGATGATATTGAGCTGTATGTGGATCCGTGTGATTATGCGAGTTTGAAGGAGATCGGTTTGCCCATGGAAGAGATCAAGGAGATGAGCAAGAAATTGAAGCAGGAACAAAAAGATGAGGTGGGTATTTTGCTATGGTTGTGGGGTATTGAAGCTTTTAAATGGCACGTAAGATATTTACTTTGGACTTCTGATACAAAATCAAGTGATAACATCGAATCTGAAAATAGATAGTCAGTTGATTAATTGATGTGGCGAGGGCTGAATGTAGAAGGCAACAAATAAAACAAAAACCTGAGTAAACTCTTTGGGTTTAATTCTCTCAGTTCCGTTACTTCAAAAAATTAATGATTTGCCCATAAACATCATTCCAGTTCTACATATGTACATCGTGCTGGCCAATCGCAGAGGGGCTTCTTTTCTTTTCTGATAACTTACAGCGACAACCACCCTGCTCTTCGGAATACGGCATATTTAAAGTGGTGGAAAAAGATAATAGAAATAAAAAGTGTTACCATGTTTTTGATACTTTTCTTTTGTTTATTTAATTTTTTTTTTAATTGTATACTAGGGAAACCTAATGCATAAAAATCAGCACATAAATCGACATTTGTCGACTTTGTATATAATTACACTGGTCTACAAGGGTTTTGCGAATAAGACGGGACCTG